ATTACTTTTGTAAATAGTCAAGAAAGATAAAATTATGATACTATATTTTAATTTTTAATTAAATAAGTACTTCTGTTTTAGATTAAAATGTTTCCATATTTAATTTGTTGTGATTCTTACTGCTCAGTCGAAAACTTTCCTTGGCATAATGGCATGAAAGGTGTCAACGGTGAGTGATTGAAGCCTGAATTCTGAAGGTATAAGCATAAACCTACAATACAACAACTAAACACCTTTACACTGTGTATATTATTTCTTGTTCGCTATATTATATTAATTGTTTACGGGCTACAGTTATATTATTTCCATTATGAAATTGGAACCTTTAAAGTTTAAACTTTTTCTTAATATACACCATGTCCATATTGAGTCTAAATTATACTGACATACGTAGACGACCGGTAAAAAACATAATTGAAATTTCCGACATAAGTGAGCGTGATCGAATTGTCCATAAATAAATGGATAACCATAAAAATATAGTCAAAATATTGTAGCTTTGTACTAATAAATAAGCATTGCTAATCTAGAATAGCGAACAATGATTGTGTACCATTCAACTATAATTTATTAGATATATGAAAATCCAAAAATTATTTATTTTTCAGTCCCGGAATCTTTTAGACCAAAATTTGGTGATATGAACTATGATCATATTGAATCAGACTCATGTACACAGCCACATTGTGTTGCCTATGCGTACATTTATAGGCGTTATTTAATTTAATTAAAAAAATTTATTTGTCGTTGATATTTTTGCCGCTTTTTAGAAGCACGCAACAGACTTAAGTATACAAATATATTAATAGATAAATGCATTTTTATTGAATGAACTTGAAACTAATTTTAATAGATTGAGTGATGTTCTGATGGCCATACATAATAATATTACAAAACATATGAACATGAAAGCTATTTAAGGTACAAAATAATCAAACCCAAGTGAGGAGCTGTTAATCAATACAATTAACAATAAAAAAAACATTTTTACCTATGTGTATGGAAAAAAATTCAACATTTTCAAATGCCTTATAAAGGCTATTTAGCTTAAAATTAGTCGACTAATTATTATTTTATTATTTATTCATGACGCATAGAAATTTATAATATTATAAATAGTGGAATGTATCAAGTTTTTACGATTAATAATTTAAAATTAAACAAAATTACAAAAACCTTTATACTTTTTAATACCTACCCGATTCCGTTGAAACACCATATTATACCCCTAAAAAAATAAAATGACATTATGCCAATTTTTTTTAATTTTTGTTTCTAGTAAGAACAACTTATGAGGAATATTGTATTAAACGTTAAATCCTTACCTAAGTATTAAAATAACATATTTTATGAATTTTGAACTACAACATAATTGGTGAATTGTTGTGATTCTTACTCATTTTGTCGAAATATTAACTTCAGACAATAATAAAAATAAATTATGAATTGTGACCATTCATATTTTGAATTACTATAAGAACTTCGTATGAGGAAAATGACTTCAGATACAAAAAAAGGACCCCAAATCATTGCAAAACTAATATATTCATCGTTTAACTCAAAATCCTAAAATAAACCATAAAAATGTTTGATTATTGACATTTGACACACATTTTTATAACTGTATGGAATGGAATTTGTTTCTGAATTTCAATATTATATTATAAAACTGATATTTAAATATTGAATCTTATTTAAGCCTTTAAGCCCATCCTGACGTATACATAGTACGACAATACGTCGCGCATCACTTTGTTTAAATGTTAATCATTAGACGAGGTAAAATAATATATTAATATTCCATATAACATTCAAACTCTTTAAATACTGCCACATAATATATACTACTATAATATCAAGATATTATTATTATACCAAGTAGGGTACCCAAAGGCTAAAAAAGAACCGATTTTCACTCATATTTTTTTTGACTGCAAAGATTTATAACTGTTTTCAATTTCTTTATAGACAACACTATCTTGAGCAAAACAAACAAAAACAGATTAGTGACCAACATCAATCTGTATTCGGTCCTACTTGTTTTTGTTGTTCATTTGTTTGAATCGAATTGGTATTTAATTGTTCTCGTTAAAAGAGTTGGAAACGGCTCATTTTTTATTTATAACTTGATTCTAAAATTTGAAGAAAGGAGCAAAAGGCTTAAAAACGTTTTTGACATTTCCATTTTTTCTCCATTTATTTATAGTTTTAATTTCGTTTTAATTTCGTTTTTTCAATCTTAAGTTTTCCCATTTGATTGTCATTAAAATTGTTCAACCTTAAATTATTGTTCTTTTCGTTTTATAATTTTGATATGATTTTGGTTACGTTTTTGTTTGCATAATATACGATTTTTCTTATTAAGTGACTATGTATAGTACTTACAGATGCATGTAATATTTTTTGTTATTTATTATTTTAACAAAACTTGTATTTGTTTGAACCACCTATCCGAGTATCCTTAACCTATGACTTTATTCTTCAGTCACGAGATGGCGGCACATGACAACTGATTTTTACTTTAATTATATTCTTGGACATAATCGTTGCATTATCTATCGTAATTTACAAAACATGCAATACATATTACAATTAATTTTTTACTTTACAACTGAAATAAATCAATCTAGAGAATTAGATTATCAAAATACTTTCAGACTTGAAATACTGGAAACTATGACAAAATGTTGATCAATACATATTATGAAAACTGAAAAGTCTAACTGCTCTACTAGCAGTTGAGGCTATACTACATAAATAATTATACTTAACCAGTTTAACTTTAATATTTTGTATATTACTAATAATAGAACCGTTTAAGAATAAAGTAGTACATTATAGTTTAAGCTAATAATAGGGTTAACGGTATTGAAATCGGATACCGGTGTATTGGGATATTAGAATCGGTACCAGTCACCATACGGTGCACCATATTATCGGTACATTCCGGAAAAACCGTAATACCTGCATATACCAGAAAATTGTAATACTGGAACACCTAAGACCTTGATAGGGTTGACGGTATTGAAATCGGATATCGGTATTGCGGAATTGCAGCATTATAATAGGTATAGGTACCGAACAAAACTATTAACAGCATCAACCCATATAGTAATATAATATACGATATTATGTAAAGTACACGGTGTTTTGGTACATCAGAACTTGGGTATTATGGTATACTATTCGAGTGGTATTTGAGCAATAATCGGTTTAGACGTATAGATACTATATAGGACCTATATATAGGTACTGATATAAGACCGATGTTTACCGAAAAAAAAACCTTCAACACTAGTCCCTAGCTAATATGCATATTATAATAGGTATAGTATCTATTAATATATACAGACATTATTTAATTCTTTTAAATTGCATCAATTTATTTTTGTACTTGATTTTTGATTGTATATCGTAGCTAATATTCAAAATAAAACTTGTCGTTAACTTCGTCAATAGTACTGTGAAATATTGTATTTTTGCAATTATAAGAAGAGATAAACTTTTATCAAAAAAAACCTAATATAACGATATTATAATATATTTTGTTTTATAATAAACTACATAAATAACAACATTTCCATAGATACTATAAAAACATACAATTATTAAAAGAAAATTCTGCACATCCCTCATCCAATTACGTATAACATTCCAAATAAAGGTACCTACTCCACCTTTTCATTGAAAAAGAACTTCAACAAAACTATAAAAATTATAATAATATTACTCAAAGAAACGCTAAAAACATTGTTAAAGGCATTCGCCATCAAAGGCTGAACCACAACAACCTTCCAAACACTTGGAAGGAAGCACTCACCAAGTACCTACAATAAAACTAATGTTATTAAATATCAAAAAGGTGTTAAACTATTACCATAGAAATATATTATTTGATTTAATTTAAAGTTTGATCTCCAATATTTTACATATTTTATATATTTTAAGGGCCACATAATCTGTCGAAGTTTTCATTATGAAATTAATGTGTGTAATATATATTATTTTTTTTGTATAAGTTCAAAGAACTAACACACAAGAGTACAAGACACAAGTACAGTGTACACAGCACTGTACGTCTGTACATTGTATAACACTGTATGTGTATTGTGATGAGTATAAGAGTAACGGCTAATGAATCCAGATATACAATAGACGTAACTTTATACGTAACGTCATACGGAATTAGAATTTTTAAGTTAATTAAAAATATGCAGAATGTAGATGTGCAATGTGCATTTAAAGGTATTTTATTACGTAAATCACTTATGACATGCCAGTCGAACATGTGATAGTATTAAAACAATCAATGACAAATAATTGTTAAAGTACTTAATTCTCAACTTAAAATAATTTTTACAATCAAAACTAATCCTAAGTACTCAGTACTCACTCAGTAGTTGACAAACTCGGTAGTTATAAATTATATGCATTTTAGCGCTGTTATTTACAGTTAAACTTAAGTATTTGAGAAAATTTAACCTTACATTTAAATCAATAAATATTATTTTATTTTAAGCGCCTGCACTTTATACACCTTTCCACCTATCAAAATAATCACTTATTTCATTACAAATGGCTCAAACATACAAAATTGATATTAAAATGTACCCTTGGTACCTACATTACTTTTCATTTAATATTGGTCACTATACGTCTTTACTTTTAGTTTAACTTTATTAAACGTATTTATAATTTTATTTATGCGTATTATAAATGCCCCAAAGTATGATATCAGCCAAAAATATTGTAAAACCAATAAGCAACGGTTTGAATATTCCAAAAGGAATCGAACTAAAGTGGTATTATATAATATGGTAAATTATATTCATTTTAATTACTATACAGTTATATTGTATTTTAAGCATATTCACCATCAAAATTCCATAATTATTAACGCTGATAAGATTTTTGGTGAACTTTATCGCTCAAAAAAACTTTTATCTATACATTTACCAAACAAATTTAATGCAAAACATAATTATTTGTGAGTACTCAAGTTTTATTATACACAATCCAAAACAAGTATTGAAAAATAGTTATGACAATAATAATCGTTGATATCCAGTTGACAAACATTTTTAAACCACTGTTGTAGTACTGTGCCTATACGTATTATGGCTAGATTAAGAGACCACTGACGACTGACGAGACGACGACCGAGCACATGAACGTCTCAGCGGCTGCGCATTCTCGTTATCCAACTGACCAATAAAGCGTCCTGCAGATAGTTTATGCATAGGGGCCACGAGTCATCTAACGTAAGCACACATTAGAGACGGAAGATTATTACTAAGAATTTGAAAAAATAAATATTACAAATTCAGAGGCAGAAACAAACTTGGCATCCGACGCTTGCAACGCAGTTTCTTAGGAACTTTTTGGACCGTCTCCAAAGTGATTTATATCCCCCAGACCGTCGAGGTCTGACGACTATTTCACTGAGGTTCTGTATTAGAAATGACGGCCATGCTTTCGAAGATCCATACACCACCAATTGTTGATAAGTTGTTATGTTGTATGGCAGGTTCATATTATTTCGGGGTATCGATCGAAACGCCCAAGGTCCTTGCATCCGACGTAATGAACGGCATTTTATCCCCATAAATGGCGAAACAGATAGGTCCAGAGTGTCCGTTACAGCACGGACATTAACTTCAAAAAACTCGCGTTTCCTCTTTCTGCAGTTGGCGTCCATTGATACAGTTAATACGCACGATGTCCGATTCAGTATTTCATAGCCAATTGTATATAAGTAATGAGACCATGCGCTACCAATATATACAATTAAAACAATAGTGCACACGAGTACCTATATTGTATAAAGATTTACAATATCTTCCAATGACGATCATAGTTATAGAAAAAAATAGTATGGTGTTTTACAGAAATCATAGTTACCTAAATAAATATTCTACTAGTTTACAATGAAATGCATTGACAAAAAATGAATCCATTTTACATTATACAATTGATTGATAACAATGAATTTTCTAATCTATGATTATTTTGAACAAAAATATCTTATAAAATATTCTTAATAGATACAGATGGAGATGGATGTACTGACATTTAAAATGTTTATAATCAATATATCATTATTCATTACTATATGTATTGATGATATTTTTATCTAAATGGTTTAAGACTGTTTTTACTTTTTGTTGTAAAATAACGTACTTTTAAGTGTTACAAATATTAAGTAAACAATAACGCATAATATGAGTATAATATTATTGTCTATGGCATTTTAACACTGTTTACTGTTAGCGCATACAAATTAGACGTTTAATGTTAATTATATATTACATGTGTTTGCCCAAATATCGGTTTAACTTACAAGTTACAATCAAATATAAATACAATTGAAAAACTCACATTAATATATTCGACACTGTGGTTCATTGCATGGTATAATATTATTTCAAAACTATATACGCATACAAAAGAAACGAAAAATCATTTACTGATATACCTATCAATGTATGAAAACAAACGTCTAGACTCTACAACACAGAGTATTGGTATACATGTCGCTAGACGTGTTCTGGCTGCAGTAAGAGGCGAGGCGTTGGAGTGCGGTCGTCGAGATTAACAAAATATCCGCAAAAATCACGTGCAACTCGTACAACGCGCGTTCGTGATGCATAACCGAATTTCTGGACTGTACAATATTATTATTATTATTATTATTATTATAATACGGAGCGATGCCGCACGCCGCGTCCGCGACTACGTCGTCTATAATTAATATTATAGACTGGTGTCCTTTACACAGGACCTAACCTCACGGCACGTCACTCTGGTAAAATAGATTCGAAAACATCCAACCGTATGCGACAACTGAGTAACTGATATGTAAATGGTCGTGCGGGGACGAGACGTACTATCGGTGCTTAACGTTTGTCACCGCTGGAGAAGGGGTGGGTCGGTCGTACAACACTTAAACGCATACTATTATTAAACAATATATAAGCTTTAGATTTAAACGGCCAATTTCCGTCACCTGCAGGCCACTCTAATCTTCCGCGCCCTGCTGCAAGTTCGTCTTTCTCTGCAGATTCGGAGAAGAATGATTAAATTTGACCGTTGACCTAACCACGTCGTTGTTTTTTTGTTTCTGTCGTGTAAACCCATTTTGCTACAGTAATATACAAATAACGCAAGCAGGACAAATGTCGAACGATCAGTTTGAATTTACCATTTATCAGCATAAAATTACAAATGAAATAGTTTTAGACAAAATCATTAAGAGGACCCTACCCATGCATTTGTTGTCTCCGTCTTACACGAGTGCGACATAGAACATTTTCGTTCACTAGTTTCAATAGTGTGCTATTAGTTTTGGTATTAGAGTGAATTTACCTATTATCAAAGTTTTAAGTAAGAACATTATCTATGTTTAAGCGTTGGCGGATTTTTGGATATTTTAATTTTCAAGCGAGATATGAGCATTTCCGATTTGTGTTATTTCACATACTCATATCTCGCTTGAAAATTAAAATACCTTAAAATCCGCAAACGCTTAAACATAGATAATGTTCTTTACCTAAAACTTTGATAATAGGTCAATTCACTCTAATACCAAAACTAATAGCACACTATTGAAACTAGTGAACGAAAATGACCTGTGTCGTACGTGTGTAAGACACGTGGGCAACATCCTCTTAACAACTAACAGCTATCCATATAGAGATGGATTTACACGGTACCACCCTTTTACAATTTGTTTTCATACATGAAGTACCACTCGCTTTTTTTAGGACATTGAGTTGAAAAATATTATTATTGTTATTATTGCCAAAACAATAACAATTCATGAATCCATTTAAACTCGTTTTCTAATTTATATTGATAACACGTGTTATAATAAATATTAAACCTTTTTCTGTCTCGTTTATAATAACATAAAGATTATAATGGAAACTATTCAAGTTGTTCAAACATTTCAAATCAAAAAATAACAAAACAAAGTTAGTTGGCCATATTAAGTAATTAGTTATTAGAGTTTAAAAAAAGTTTTAAAATCGTGCCATATATTATACTAAAGGAATAACAACATTTTGATTCCAAAAATCTCTCTGGATTAAATTGTTTTATCTTTTCCAATGAAGTATACTCTTGTGTCGGACAAATGCTGTTGCTTATCCTTCGTTCATATACGCTCATTGCAACCATCGTTTTCGTTTACTTACTTCATAGTAGTTAAGTAATAATTGAGAGCCATTTAAACGAAATTAATTTGAAAACATAAAATTAGCTCACTGACCGAGTGGTCCTACAACCTCAACGCCAGCACGGCAGCATATATTTAAACATTCACTGGTAAGAAAGAGAAAAATAAATAAATATCGACGGGATTTGTTATAATAACGAGGGGTCTGCGTATGGAGAAAAAACCCTAGGGTAAAACTATACGTGATGAAAAAAATACTCACACATTCATATATATATATATATATATACGCACACACAAATAGACCTGTATGCCGTACGGACCGTACCGACGTCTTGACTCCGAAGGGGGCGGTATTTTTTTTCTCTTATATTCCATTCCGCAGAAGAATCCCCGGGCCGCCTTTGTCACGTTCAATTCTACGAAATTACGCGGGTTTCTATTTCGTTTCACGTCAAAAAAAAAACTTCTTAACGTACGCAGACCCAAATTTTGTTTGCAAACGAGAAAAAAGTCTCGTGGTTATTGTGGATTAGGTGTCCCGTTTTTTTGTGTAAAATTTACTGTTTCGCAGTCATCGTTGAAATTCTTTTAGTGAATAGGTAATAAGAAGACCTTCTTGCAGGTCAAAACACGAATTACACGATTTATATTTTATATTGAACATACGATAACGTTTCACAGAGTTTATTAGTCTTATTTGATCATATTAATATAATTTGATTTTTGATTAGGCACAAGCACAATAAATAATAAGTATTCTACTTAGTATTTAATATTGTACAATAAATAAATAGGTTACAGTTCTAGACATGACTTGTGCGGTAAACACGATTAATGCAGACACACTTTAAAAATAAAAATTAATCAATTAATGAATCCGTATAAATAAGTTTTAATATTGTTATCTCTAAACAGTCTAAACACGATGATAATTATTAGCAAAATAATTTAAATTTATTTATAATGGTATACCTACTGTTTCGTTATTAATAACATATGTATTTTAAAGTTGTAGAATTATTTAATAAAATATAACGCATTATAATTATTTAAAATTGTTTTATCATTCATAATATATTTAGGACAATTAACACAAGGAAGTTGGTTTTATTATTCATCAAAAAAAAATAATAAATAAATAAATAATTAAGCAATTTCTAAATCGACATTATTATGCCATTTATAGAAAGTTAACGAAATGTTAAAAAAAAATATAAACTATATAAATTTTAGTACCTATATGGCTACCTATATATTATGATTATATAAAAATATAAGACTTTTTTATTATAAAAATGTTGTAGAATATTGTGTCACCACTGCAGCAGTATGTCATCACCTCAAAAAAAAAATCATATACAATAATACTGTATATGTATTCATAAGTATGTACAAACATTTATACATATATATGTGTATAATAACATTTCAAAACATTAACATTACAAAGTATTATAAAGTGGTTTAAAGACATAAAAAAATGTATACATATATTATATATTATTTTTATATTAATAGCGGCTCCTGTGATAACTGGTTAATAGTTAATACGGGGGCACGTTACAAGGATTCGTCCTTACACAGTTCGTTTAAAAGTATAAGATTTTAATTTTAAAATATTGTAAGCTGAAAAAATTATTTCCACTTTTTTTTGAAAAAAATGTATTTTTTCCACAGGTAACTTTATTATAATTCAATATGTAATAATAATATTGTATATGTTATTGCAATATTACCTAAATTAGATATTATAAAAAGCAATTTTTTTTTATTGAGAGCCAGCGGCAACATGAGCCATTGGGAGTACAATTATATAAATATATAAAATTGTAATATTAATGTCAATTGTCAATAGACACCACCATAAATATAACCATTCTTATATAGTTATATGTATATTTTTTGATCTTAGGTACTAATTTATAAAGTATTTAGTGCATGCAGATTGTAAATATACTCGTTTTTAGTAAAAAAAAACAGAAATTAAAATTTTTTTTTTAATTTGGAAACTTTCTACTGTCACACATGGGATCTTGCAACAGTGCTTAATGTCTGATATTATATTATTACAAAAGGTAATATTTATTATTATCAATCATTGAGAAATGTAGAGACCAACATAATATTGTTTTTTTTTATCTCATAAATCATTTAGTCTTAGAGTAATATCGCCAAATTGTAAAGGTAGTTTACCTAATTGGCTTCTAATCATAACAGATATTATAAAAATCAATTTACCAAACCATTAGAAATCACAATAATTATTATCATTAGCATGATACTGAAGCTATAACTAGGTATATTAAAGGTGTGTTTTTAGAACAAAAAAGTGACTCATAGGAAAAACTCTCACGCCTCGTGAAATAGTCAAATGTTGATAATTTTCTTCTTTAAAATAAAGAGATTTTATACATATCACATTGAACCCCAATTTAAAAATCTTTAATTTCAGTATTTATAATAAACGTCTAAATACTTACAAATTATTTTAATTATATTTTTACTGCGTTATTGAAATTGTACTAAAAATCGGAATCTAATAATTGAGCTGAATAAAGTTTCCCTCTTTCAAATAAAATAAATAGTTATTATAATTCGACTATTTTGCAATAATTTTGTTTCCCGTCAAGTCTTTTTTGACCGTTGAAATGGTTTGATTTTATTTTACCGTACTGTTAATTGTATTGCCCCTGTATAGCTAGAAATTACATGCATAAAAACCTTAATCAAATACCGGCTCCTATACCGGACTTTTTATTTTTAATACTTCTTCAATAGACTTTCAAGTTTATTCTGACAATTTTTATTAATTTTAATTTGTAAAAAATAACTTTATATACCACTACACGCATTATGCTAACACAGGAATTTATTTTTAAAATACAATTTATGATATTCAA